TATATACATATATATATATATAATATAAATCATCAAAGGTACATATACATTGAAAACCTACCTGCTTCATAGTAGTCATAAACAGTTATTGTTCCTTGTTTCGCATTCTTGACTTTGATTACTTGTTCTACGTCGAATTCAAAGCTTAAGGGCTTGGAAGTGAACTGAAATAATAATAAATCGTTTATATGTTATATATCGCATCTGGGCTACAACAACTGTATTGTCAAAACAATTAACAAAAGCAAAACACAACATGTATACCAGATACAACACTCAGAAAATAATAAATGAAAGTACTAGGCAAACAAGTGAGTCTTGAGTGCACCTTTGAAGATATTGGGACCAGAAATGTCCCAAAGTTAAAGCAGTCTCTGCAGTCTATCGAGATATTGTTGAATAGACCACTATAGAGTTACAAAGCCTATTTAATTCTATTAAATTATTATTTGCTACTTAGATTACTTATTTGAGATTCAGGATAACGTGCTTGTCAGTTTATATTTAACTGCCATTCCTTGATACAAAGTGAATTACAAAATATTAGTCATTTTTATGCATTGTATTTTGAAATTATATTTTAGTGAATTACCTCATCAAAGTAGAAGGCCACCATATTACCACTGACTTCATAACGCTTAAATCCAAGTTTCCTAAGGTCAGCATCTTTGCTTAATCTGTAGAGAGACTGTTTATCTGCATAGTAACCAGACACAAGTTTGACTTCTGCAATAGCCATACTAGAAGCGCCATCATCGCCGTTATACCTACAAATCAAAATATTTGATTAAATTACCTTTGAAAAAATTAGGATATGTGTTGTTAGTTCGTTGTTTACGATATGGTTTTCAGATTATCTTTTCCACATAAAAAACATGTTTTCTTTTTCTCGTTACGTTGATACAATATTGTACTCTAATTTAATGACATACATACCCTGAGCATCAATTTACACTACAGTGCGTATGGAAGAGATACTCTGTTTAAATCAATCATAAATACGAAGATACATTTTTATTTTCATTATTGCACTTTAATTATTCTTATATTGACTACACTTGCCAACACTTGTATCAACGCATAGATGAATATAGAACACACAGTATTAAAATTAATCAAGACGTTAGTGATCTTAAAGTTGTTGATCATTTCAGCATTTTAATAAAATACAAAAAATGAAATTTGATTGCCTAATAAAATAAAAAGATTTGGATAAATCCATCACTTTATTAAATAGATTCAGGCAAATTCTGTATTCAATTTATTTACCAACAACTAAATCGATAATTTAACTCCATGATATTACTATTTTAATTATCAAACTATTTTTTCAATTGACATTGCTGGACGAAAGAACATTTTGGTAATAAAATTTGTATGAAAGATATGTAGCAAACGTTTGTTGATTCTTATAAATATTATAATCAAAAAAGTAATATGCGCACTTACGATATAGTTATTCGCATTGTTTGCTTTTCGCACCCAAGCTTTTCATCAGGAGTTGATGTATCAACACTGATACTAAACGGTTCCTGCTCTACTGCTGGTTTTTCGTAGATGTTGTAAAGTGCCTGAACCTAAAACAATCAATGGTATATTATTACTTTATTAGTCTGAAAAGTTGTATTTTTTTATTTTTAATCATCCAAATTGTTTTAAACCAGTTACCTGCACAAGAGCACATCCACTTCCTGAAGCATCAATGTCAACCGTTGTTGGCGCTTTTTCAATATCCATCCTTTGCAGCAAAAGACGATTAGATGAGTCGATCACAAACTCATTTACTTCGCCATCAGCCGACGAAGATGCTTTAATATTCATCTGCGTTGTCTCTCCACCATAGAGTACCTCAGCAAAATAAGACAGTGCTTTCAAGGCTATGACAGTGTCCTTTAAAAAATAAAGTAAAATGGTTAAAGATAGTAAAATTATAAGTATATTTAATATATTTAACAGAAATTAACCTCTTTTTGAGTTGTGATTCGAACTTATAGTAACTGTCCCATTGCAAACAACATTTATAAATTACACACAATTTTCTAACATTATATTTGTCTACTCAATCTAATGACTTCACTATTTTTGTTGCAAGGCTTTGTCACAGAAAATATAAATAGATCAATCAGTCGACCAATCAATTGAACTGCATTGATTGGGTGCTAATTATTCAATTAATTTATACATACAACTTTGACTAAATTTGTTAAGCTTAAAATAAATCTTGATTCATACCTGGGTGGATGAGTATCCCCCGTATGCATTCTGTTGTTGAGCAAGCCATCGAGAAATCTTTAATCCTTCCACTTGATTAGCGTCCGTATTCAAATCAAGAGCAAGAAGTGCGTACGCAGTCATTTCAACTTCTGCTGAGGGGGCGCGGCAATAGAAGCATGTATTCTTAGGCCGAAGGCTTTCCGGACGCTCCCAGTGTTTCAACCCATCTAACAATATAAAAAAAAAAATCAAATTTTAAATACATTAATGATAAAAGGTGCTATGATGTATGATAAAATTAATCTAATTAATAATAATAATACTAATACTAATAATAATAATAGTAGCAGACCATCATCAGGATATCATACATGTTAGCTTCTTCATTTTCGTAACGTTTGGAGGTATGGGGTATGCGGGTTTTAGGACCTTAGTGGAGTAATGTTCCTACCCTGTGATGTATAATTGGATTAGGGTTAGGGTATGAAGGTCACTAGGACCTTAGTGGAGTAACATCCCTACCACGTGATGTACAGTTCGTTTAGGTTTGGAGTGTGCGGGTCAGTGGGACCTTAGTGGCGTGAGGTCACTACCCCGGGATGCATAGTTCGTTTAGGGTTGGGGTATGCATGTCATTAGGACCTTAGTGGAGTAACGCCCCTACCCATTAATGCATAGTTTGATTAGGATTGGGGTATGTGGGTCATCTGGACCTTTGTGGAGTAACGTCCCTACCCTGTGATGCATAGTTACCATTGTATTGTTTTACTGCATCGTTTCTTTGTGCGGATATTTGCCCTTGATGGCAAATAAAAGGAATTAAAATTTAAATTAAGTTAGTGAGTCAACAATTAAAAATTAATACAATTAAGAAAGAACTTACTTTCTTCGATTGCAAGAGCATTTAGTTGGTTAAGTACATCAGAGTATAGGGTGTTACCAGAAAGCTTAAATGCATACGCAAGTAATGCTACAGAGTACGAGTCATTTCGAATACCAGAATCAATTTTATTCCATCGGGTAACAAGACATTTAGTTGCCTGAGAAATAGCTCTGTCCTGAGGATTGAAGAAGGTTAAAACATTAGTAAATGTTTCATTTCTGTAAAGAATACTGCAGTATACAGTCTGTAATTATCAACTATTTCAACATGAGGCTAGCACCTAGCTAGTCCTAATATGAGATGCCAATGGTAAGCCTAGACTGTTCACTGAAAACAAGACCCAATGACAATGGAAAATTCATTAAACACACATGATGCAAAGGACGATATTCTTTTTCCACAATCCACGATTAGATAAGTTTTATATTAATTTATGAAGAGTCACATTGAAAATTTAATTTACATCCACATCCCACCACGTGATGCATAATTCGGTTAGAATGGGGTATGGAGTGGAGGGCCTTAGCGGAATGAGTATTCCTGAATGTATAGCTATTCTAATTAGAATACAGTTTAGAACTAGTTTTTTTTTCTCTCCTCAATGTCTATTTGTTATTGTTTAAGCAAATATTGGCCAACAATGTCTTTCTTGGCAATAAAGAAATTGAATTGAATTAAATAACAGTATACTCTCATCAACCTTATTATATGGCCTAGATTGCAAATCATCATATATCTTATATTTATTATTTATTTGGCTAGTAATTTACTATTGAATGAGAATAAACATTTTGAAAATATGAAACTTATCAATTATTTTCTAATGCTTACCGTGGTCTGACCACCACCAGCTTCTAACATTGTTATCATAGTGTATGCAGTCAGAGTTATTTCATCCGATACTCCACCCTATTATTATATAACAAAAGAAAAATAGTAAATTAATAACAATGATTTAATAATGGTTTAATAGTAACATTAAAATTATTATTAAACCATGATATACTTCAAAAGATTATTAACAATAGTACTATGTGTAATATAAAATTTTATATTATATAATTAATTTTTAATTACCAAAGCACAACGTAGTAACTAAATATGAATAGGTATAAATAAACAATTTAGTTTTAATACAAAATAGTTCTATACTAGTTTAAAGTAGTAGTTGGCCAAAATGATTATAAAAAATTGAAGTTAGTTCATTCTAAAAACCATGGCATACACAGATTTAGGCCTATTTTTAATAGAAACAAGTAACCTACATATCTGGTATGGAGTAGTATTTGCATTGGACTCCAATAAAACGAATTAAGTATTAAGTATATAACTTCACACATTCGAAAATTTAACTAATACCGTAAAACCTCGAATTTAAGCAATGGCCTTACTTTTTTTTGCGAACTTTTGATGGGCTTTTTTAAAGGGCTTCTTAATGCTTGAGATGGGCTTTCGAGACTACTTTTGCAAAGTAAAGAGGGAGGCTTCTTTTCAAAATGAATGCTGGAAATTTTGTGAATTTGTATTATAAAACAATAAGTAAGGCCACTGTAACGTCAATCTGTATCATGAGTGTATTTAACTGGCATTAAATCACCTAAACTACTTTATAAACCAAGCTCGTTTTTAATTTATTTTGTTTTCTGAAATTCATGTACAGTGTATGTACTGTACTTTCTTTAAAAAAAAAGCCTATGCTCTCTTGAAAAGAAGCCCTTGGGCCTCTTTTCGAATTGGGCTTCTTTTCGAGGCTAATTTTGCAAACTAAAGAGGGGGGCTTCAATCCGAGGTTTTACGGTATCTGGTTATCATTAGTAAGAAAATTATCAACAATTATTTATTATTCTTTAGTATATGAACTGTAAAGTAACTATTGATAGCACTAACTCTAAACAAATTATTATGTAATTTAATGGACGAAAATATGATTATACTGATTACAAATATAGCATGAATTGTGTACTCGAATATATGTTTATTTTTTTCTTTATACGTTCATGTGTGTTAGTATTTTATGTTATTATATGTTGTTATATTTGTGTTTCAGCATCTGGCTTCAGAACGAATATTTAATAAATTATTACAAAATTCACTTGTAAACATAAAATTAAGGCTTACGATGTAAAAAACTTGTGTTCGAATTTTCTTAATAGAAAAAACACACATGAACACAATTTTTTTTATTTGATGAACTGAAAAAAATCAACAATACCTTCATCGCCTTGTTGAATAATCTCCCTGTTGACATAACGCATCCTGTAGTCCGGTTTTGTTGGTCTATCAACCACCGAAGACTCCCGGTCATTAAATCTTCATCAACCTTAATAAACGCTTTTGATTCTGCAAATGATCTTACAACAAATGCTGTCAACCTAGAGAAAAGATTAGTTTATCAATAAATATAACCTTTCATAGAATTTTGAACAAAATAACCAGTAGGCCCACGAATTGACAAACTTTCAGAACTATACTTCAATAATGCTTTGTTGTAATATATCATACTTACCAAGTACTACCGTCCTGGTCATGTTCCCCAAAGGCACTATATGACCCGTCACTTCGACGGTAGTTTAGTTCTCGTTGGTAGCCTTGCAATAAAGAAAATAATATCAAGGCAATGTTATATAACTGGATGATTCGCTATTAAAGACTGTAAATGATCTAATAAACACATCTAGCAAATAAGCTCTGCTCTAGAATAAGCACCATTCTTTCACAAAGCACAGCAGCGGTAATAGAGACACAGTCTATTTTTGAATAAACTTTGCAGTGATAATCAGTAGCATTAAAGTAGCAAGCATTTGCATCATCGTGAATCTATTAATAACTGATTTCTCATGAAATTAATATTATTCACGCTGTATCAAACCAAATCCTTTAAATAACATGTGTTGACATTTTAACAGTCAATTTTCTAATAATCATGCTCAATCGAGTAAGTACCACACTGAAGCTTCCTATAATCACAGTACATGAGCGCCTACCCAGAGTGTCAACAACTGACCAATCAGAAGACGGCCAGGAATACGCGCTTATCCCAAACACACATGTTGTCCCACAAACAGGTCAAAGGTAGATAATTAATTTGAGGTTTAAGTGAAGCTGTTTGGTGATTAATTTGTCAAGCCTCCTAATCATAATGCCTTTGGCTTGAGCCATTATTTTGGGAAATACATAATATTTAATAATTCATAATCAAATATTACGACGTAATGTGAAGCGCTTAGAGGCCTTGTTGGCATTAAGCGCTATATAAATATAACATATTATTATTATGTATTGTATTATGATATAATAATATGATTAAATAATTAACTCACCAGTTTGAATATTGTGAATAATATTTTGTTTGAGCTCAGCGTTTGCTTGGCCTGTATTGATAAGATACTGTAGAACATAAATATTTGGCGCCATCTTAACGATGTTCTGTTCTCCACAGCCAGTAGGTAAACGAATTAATCTATCTAAATTGTTGAGCGCAGGTCCCATAATGTCTCCTGAAAGTCGAATTATAAGGTACATGTAGTTAAGTAGACGATCACACACACAAACACACACACATACATGCTATGAATAAAAGAATATTATAATATAAATAATAAATATCATAAAAATGAAATGGTACATGTAAAGAGATATACAATTATTTGATGAAAATAATTATGCTATTGTTGATGATTAAACATACCGATTACTTGAAGTTTTACTCTAGCTGATCCTGGAACAGTGTTGTGAGGCAAGTCCACCATATAACTAGATGTTTCTGTTTCGCCATTGCTCAAGCAGATGATCGACGATTGCGTCACATCCGTTTCAATTCCTTCAGCCTGCAAGACATTCAAGTTGATTATCATTTGGCTTAAATTATAATTAGTGTATATTTGATTTTCAAAGTATACAGATGAAATTAAACTACCTTAAAGCCTATTTTACACTAGGCAAATTTATTCATGCAAATCAACAGCTTCGGTTCGCTTCCTGAGCTCTGATTGGTTGAGCATTTTTTTACTTCGCAGAGAGTAGAAACAGTTCAAACTACTGATTTCGCTGAAGCACAATACTCCGATAGAATGCGTATGAACCGACGCTTTGATTCGCACAAATAAATTCGCCTAGTGGAATACAGGCTTTATGAACCCATTTCATCATACTTTATACCATTTCTCAGGAAAAGTAATAGATAAGCGATCGATATAATAGGTAAATTATACGCTCCTATGTAAATGATGCAACAAGATGAGGGGCTACGTATGATTCATTGAGCAAAGAAGGGTGAATAACATTGTGGCAACAACTCAAAAGAACTTCTTACCTCAACTAGCAGATCACGCTGCACGCCGTCGGACAGACCAACATACTTCCTGTCAGCAGCTTCAGGTGTACCGTCGCAATACTTACTGCTAGTAGCCACATTAAATCCTTTGGTCACAGCAGTAACTATCATTATTAAACAAACGTTATTTTGAAAATTATACATTTGGCTGTTTTGGTTCTCTTTAATAATTATTTATATTATTACGTGACATTACTAAATGTCATTAAATCTCAACACAATGAAAGTAAGTGTGTACTGATAAAATATCTTTATTACTGATTGAGTAAATTTGTTATTGATTTGGCAAACTTAATCATAAATAAAAACTATAGTTTTATTTGTAACTAAATTTATATGTCTGAAAAAGATGATACTAATTCAAAACTGCACCTGTAATAGGAACGTCTCCTAGCTGATGTGGCACGATTCTGAACTGTACCGTTTTAGAGCTTCCACCGCAAACACACACTTTACGAGTGACGTCACCACCAAGTATTGTAAAATTATTACTACTCTGCAGAACAAGCTTAACCTAAATATGCAAATATACAATTAGTATTTGAGTTTCCTCTGTGATTAAAAATTACTGTTTTTCAAAGCCAGGCTACGGAGGGTTGTTAATCTTCTTTTCCCCGGTTTTTAAATATTCCAACGTCTGTATCTCATTAAACGTTCCTCAGTATTTTTTGTCAAAACACCCTTTTTGTGTCTGAAAAATCAGTTTTCCAACATATCAAAAATTTGTTTTCCTCCGTTCCACTTTCAAAATAACCTAGTCTTAAAAGCGTGCTATTATATATGTTTGATAAATACATTTTAATTTGGTTGGTTTCAATTTTCTAAAGTGAATACTATTTGGTATTGTAAACTAATACGTTAGAAAATGTTAATACGATAAACAAAAAAGACATTAAAAAAAGAGCATTGCAACATTTGTATTAACTTACCATAAGGCATTTGTCGGAAAGATAGTTAAATACAGTTATCTTAACTGGAACTGTCTCATTACGAATAACGGAATATGGAAGTGTAAGTGAAACGAAAAATGGTTTAAATGCTCGTAAAGTCGCTGTTTCCGAAATACCAAGGTCGCCATCCTGTGAAATACAGAATCCATTTGCCTTCCAGTCGGTTATTGTATCAGGAACATTTAAATCAAACTTAGCGATCCCATCTTCTTTGCTGAAAAGTTATATAAGTTTATTATAATTAAATAACAAAAGACCTATACAATTTTTTTGGAAAAAAAACCCACATTCAACTTAACCTATAACCACTGACACCATCTTTTTCTTTTATCCTTCAACCAAAATTAATTAATATTATTATCATCATCATTGTCATCATCATCATCATCATCATCATCATAATTACACGTATCAGTATTTATAATATTTTAATAAAATTATAAAATATTGATTATTAGTATTACAAACAGTGATATTGCTACCCTTAATATTACAGTTCGGCCTGTTGTAATTATCATCCTCATCATTTTATCATCATCAACATCCGTATGCTCTTCACTGCCATAATCATCTTAATTACCAACATAGTCATAATTATTAACATTATTATTAATATATTATTGTTAGTCATCTGAATTTTATATACATCATTCTTGTCATTATAATTATCTAGTCATCTCAATGTTATATACATCATTCTTGTCATTATAATTATCTAGTCATCTCAATGTTATATACATCATTCTTGTCTTTATAATTATCATTATTATTATTATTACTTAATTACTAGGCCTATTACTTATAATCATTCTCAATTAATTTTAGTTTTAATTCAATTTGCTTCTTACAAAATTATTAATTATTAATCATTTATCTTTTATTTCGGAATTTTATAAACTATTTATCTAATGATTTGCCAGACAATGGCCCTACTGCAACGTTGGGTCAGAGTGGACAGCTAAAATTAATATAACTGTTTATTTTATTTTATTATATTTTCTAAAATTTTTATTTTACTTTTTAAAAATTTGTACTGTACATTGACTTCACTCAAATGTAATAAAATGATTGTTCTCACTGTGTTCGTTTAATCTGCCATAATAACGTTTCTGGGAAGTATGTTCGTATCTTGACTGGTGGCACATCTGGAACCACTTCATCTTGACCTGCCTCTCCAGCTTCACCCCCTCGTGCAACCGCAATATTATCTTCCGCCACGATTTCACTATCCACAGGACCAGGTGCACCAGGAAGCCCGCCCTTATTAAAATAGTAGACAGGATAATCCCTCTGCCAGTAATAATCTAAATAGGAACAATAATGCTGTCTTTATGCAATTCAGAAGAATATACTATATCTAGAATTGAATACTTTTTTTATTTGGACAACAAACGATAAAAATACATTTTCTTTATAATAAACCAAAGATGTATAAATTGAAACTTTTACATATACTGTTCTTTTATATAATCTTAAATGCAGTATGTGGGCCTCTTATTGAAACACTTCATTTTGCAACTGTATTGTGTGTTATGGTTCAGTTATTGCTCAAGGAAAACCAAAACCCACAGCAAGGAATTGCAAATTCGAGCACGAGGAAAGTAAACCTTTCTCGTTGTGCCAAACTGCTTGTTTAAAATCTGAAACAGAAATCCTCAGGAAAAAGGGGGAAAATAGTACAAGAAAAATTAGCTAATTAGCATTACATACTTGTGATTTCATAGCAAGGTCTTGTTTCCACGTCTAAGTTTGTAGCAAAAGCGACACCGGCATTCTACAAATTAAAAGAAATAAATTTGTGAAACTTCATTCTTTTGATAATGTATTAAAGGTATGCAATAATTTGAGTATATGTTGATTAGGCTTAATCACAGTAGAACGAGCCAGGTAGTTAAGAAAGTCGCGTACGAATTGTAATGGCCACCTTTGATTCTGACAAATATTCATATAAGTCATAATGCTTTATAGTTTTGTACACGTCATTTTAACATTCAATATCTTAGTAACATCAATGTATTTATCGAAAAAATTAGAAATATAAATTCCTTAAGTTATACCTGAAAAACAGTTACAGTATCGGCATGCTTTGTCCTGGTGTACGTGCTTGTTGTCAGGGTGTATCCTTTGGCGGTAGGTAGTGGATTAGAAACCGCTTCATCCGGAGACGGTCGTACATCATCAAAAAGACGACGTGTGCATTTTTTCAAGGGATAGTAGAAGTACCCATACGAATATCGATACAGAGAATTGAACACCTAACATAAGATTGAAAGTGCTGTTACATACAGTCAATTGGACATGTGTCGTTTTAGTAGTTTGACCAGGTTTTAGTAAAGTAAGAGTAATGCTCTATCGGCCAATCAAGATAATTCTCAATTAATAACACTAATTAGTGGGATTTGTACGCCTACACATAGTTATCAAACAACACAACTAAAAAAGGACAACATTATTATTAGGTAAGCCTACCTTATCAGTAGTTAGTTGGTTAGTCGATCCTAAAAGTTCGACACTTTTATCTACAATTCCAACAGCACAGAGAGAATTGGCTTCAGATTCAACTGTAAGTGTGGTAGTTTCTCCAGGCCGCGTTTCATCGTCTTCAAAGTCCAGTGCCACCTATTGCAAAACATTTTTAAAACCTCATATTTAAAGATATATATGTATAAATATTATATATATATATAATTTATATATAATTTATATATAATAAATCAAATAGATATATTTATAATGAGACAGATCACAAGTAAACGAAAACAAGGGTTGACGTATTTCTGGAACATAAATATATTTATTTGAGCACAAATATTTTGGTAGTTTCTGCAACCTTCATTAGTGTGACAATGAAGGTTGCAGGGACGACCGAAATATGTTGTTTAAATAAATAAATTTATGATCCAGATATACGTCAACACATTTCTGTCACTTGTAATCAGTGTCACTACATATGATAGGACCGGAACATACGTGCCCCATCTCATATTCATATATATATATATATATGAAAATATATATATATATATATATATATATATATATAAAGGAGATTTATTGTGGAATGTAGAAGGAATAAGGAATAGTCAAGATTTCGTCCCATGATAAATATGATGTGGTGTTATTTACGGAGACTATGGCCACAGTCGACTATGTGACAGATAACAGGTTGTGGTTTAATCAAATGAGTGTGATGCCGGAAAGGGGGAGAACGTTTGGAGGTCTCCCTGTAGGCCTACTAAGCGAGGTTTCATGGAATGCAAAGCTGGTACACAAAAATGAGAACATAGTGTGTGTAACAACATCTCTTCTCAGTTTTATAGTATGTTATTTCCAACCAGGCTACGCAGTAGATGATATTCTAAGCGAAGTGGCAGACGTAATATTACTCCTTCTGACTGTAACGGCACCTTTAATTATCGAATTAGGAGATTTTAACGCACGCATTGACACTGGTATAAGAGGCCGTGACTTGTGTGCGGGAATGTGCGATATTGAATTTGCTTACGCGAACGACCCTACCATACAAACATATATATCTGCTCAGGGAACGGGCGTCATCGATCTTGTTTTCATGAAGGATGAACCTGATCAAGATATACGAGTGCGAGTATTACCATCTCTGGAGGCGAAACACCAGTTGGTGGATATTAGTTAATTGCTCACCAAATAAAAGGAGCGTGAGAATCAACCCTATCCGCAAAGTTGACTGTAATAAATTGGCAATGAGTATATATATAAATAAATCATGATTTGATAAACTCTAAACCGTCTTGTCTTGCCATAATTTACCTGGTTTGATAATCCTTTTACAACTTGAATTTCAATTGAATCTGAAATAACTTCATCATCAGCACGGACATAATATATTACTACTTTTGCGTTTGGTGACATTTCAGGAGTTATCTCAATCGGTAGATTAAATGAGAATCGACAATTCGGTGGAAGTGGTTCCAAACCTATGACTAAAATTTAAGAAAACAGAAAATTAACATTGTACGCCAATGATATCAGCTAATGCTTTACGAAGAACATTTTACGGCAAATATACATGTAGGCCGATATGTATTTATGTCTTTATGTTAGTTATTGTGCAACAATAAAATAATATAATATTACATTAAAACCTAATCGTAGTTACCTAATTCTTCTCCATCAGGTTTTGGTGGCAAATTTTCATAGGTATTATAATCAAATGTTGCTGGCACGATGTCCCGCTTTTCTTTACGATAACAGCTTGGTGTTGGCACTTCTAAGCTACCAGATGTTGCGACTGCACCTCTAGCTAGTACCTAATAAAGAAAATCGGTTTACATACTTAGGATATATAAACACAGCACGGATATTGACAAGGTTGCTATTCTGGTTTAATCACAGTACAGTATCAAAAATAATGATGATGATGACGATAAAGAGCAGGTTAGCTCAGTTGGCTAAACTGGTGGTAGCCACTGTTTGTGCGGTGAACCATGGGGATTTTTTGGTCCCCGGTTCAATTTCTATTGCTGCTCTCCTTGTATTTTGACTGGAGGGCTGAAATAAAAGTTAGGATAGCACACTCCCTGTCCAGAAGAGACGTGTAAGCCGTTAGTCCCGTGTACATTATGGCCAATGGGCATGTTTAAGAACGCAATACACTCTTTCAGAAAAGAGTAGGGGATTGTCTCTCTGTATTCTGCACCAGCAGAAGAACCCCACTGGAAATAAGTCTTCTTCAGACTTCTGTGGGTTAGTGTTGGTGTTTACACCGAATAAAAACCTACCCATCAATACTGATGATGAAGATGATTATGATAATAATATATCGGTACAAAAAACAGTCACAATAATGATAATGGTAATGATGATGACCGTGACTATAATTTTGATGATGACAATAATACTGCTATTTATGTTGACATAATGTCCAGACTGATGGATCCTGGGACTACCGACGTAGAAGTATTTAATAATTACTTAAGCAGATATCAGCTGATTTTGTAGCCTACTTACCAAATAATTGATACTAATATTTCCATTGTCACCAGTTGGCACAGTGTAGTCGACATCAAAAGTATGTACAGTCCCAAAATTTAGTTCACTCTGAATTGGTTTAATACTCAAAAAGCTTCCACTAGGCGAATAGAAACCAGTCAAATACTTTGCGTTATAGGGATTGTAGGCGATTCTATAGAAACCATAGAAATCATCATATGTACTGTCTGTTTCATACCCTTCGGCGGTAACCTATATGTGGCATTAAAACAAGATACATAATTTAATATTTATTTTGTACGTTTCAATTGTGTTCAATCTGTGAGGCAATTGTACAATGACTAATCAATATTCAATTAGTATGTGCATTAGGCCTGCCCGATTTATATTGCGCTTTTTTTGTGACAAATACGTATTATTTATATAACTACCATATAATTAGCCCTTTGGAAAGGAATTTGTAAAAAATATTCTCATAATAGGCTACATGAAATAAAACCCTGATAGAAATTTCGCATGATAAATAAAATATAGACAGGATTCTTACACCAGTACTCCATTGGAATAATCAATATATAGGCCTACATGAAAAAAAGGAATATTATGTAATGGTGGAATATAGAGTATTATGCCACTTCCTAAAAAAAGTTTGTGAAAAAGAAAACATTATAAAAACAAGAGAATGAACTATACAACTAATATGACTGTAAAAACAGTATAGCATATCTATTGAAACAAAAACAATTCAAAGCGAAATCCTTATTTAGAATTTAGTCTACCCGAATGTTGATAGCGAATTTGGCCTCCTTTAGGGATTTTGGCCTGGAGTGAGAGTTGAAATGACTAGCGATTTCGGACCCCGAAACAAACGTCTTTGGTACTAAAGCTCTCAACAAGTTAGGAATAATGCTATTGTTAATGTTATACAGGATGAGTGATGATAACATAATTTCAGTTATAGTAAAAAAGTTGGCACTTTTAGGCCTACTACCGGCTGATTCAGCTTATTCTATTTATATTTAATTATGTACCAATATTTGTATATTGTACTTTGGTTTTGAAATACATACCTTTATATAAAGCGATGCCACAGAAGTGTCAGTAGGTCCTTCGAAACTGAATATTGCAACTCCGTTGTCTGATACGAGATTAAATACTTGAATATCTTCCGAGTCATAGTTTTCTCTGATCGCTATTGTTAGATTTATACCATTGGCTGGGGTGTTATTAGCATTAGTGACGATGACCTAAAATATAAAAATTAGTATTTTTTTATATAAGCAACTTGTAAAACAAGTGTAAGTTAATTCATTGTACAGTATATAATTTTCTCAGGTTTTGTTTGATAATAAATTATTTAATTAAATTAATTAAATGATTTGAAATCCCAGTAGTGTTTTGAAAATGTTTTCAAAATAAGTGAAAAAAAACCCTGTGTACTTCTCTCTTACCTTGCCATTGTATTCAAATCCTGGTTTAAAATAATTAAGTCCTAATACTTCTATTCTCACAGCCGAATTCTTAATCGAAGTAGACACTGATGATCCGTTTAACGTGATATCTACAAAAAGATTTAACTTCAATGAAACATAAAATGTACAACCTGAATAGAAATACGAATTTTAAACACAAAGATAAAGTTACAAATATTAATAAAACGATAATATAATGACATGTGACTCGCAAGTTGGTAAAGTTTTAAGATAGGTTAAAAAAAACAAAAAAACAATAAAGAAAGAATAACGGTTTCTTAGTTTGTTAATGTAATAAACGAATAATTAATAACAACAATATATAAGCATACCAGTTCCAGCCTCGGTAAAGTTAGCGTCAACATAAAGTTGTCTACCACCATAATAATATTGCGAAACATCCCATTTTAGTTTTTCGGAAGTCAACTCAAATTCTCCACAACCGTCTGGTCCAGTATCCTATAAATATTTACAACATGAAATAGTTTTTTAGTAACTGAAAACGTTTCATCAGAGTATTTGATAAAACTATTTCATTTGCATCACTTAAAGAATTAACTAATGGTAACTGCAAAATGATGTGAATATCAAAGTCATATACATACCAGTAGCGGATGAAATAGAACGGGCCCAGGGAGGTACTTTCACAAACGGAGGGTCTAGAATCTTGACCACTCAGCCCCACCATTAGGACTCATTGGAATTTACGAGTATAGTACCGCGAGATATCCGAAAATGGCACTCCAAGACTTAAACTCCAACATGATTTTTTCTTTTTATCCCCATTTTTTTTTTTTTTTTTAAATAGGGTGGCGGACCGGCTGGGCCCCTTTTTTTATCCGCTACTGCATACAGTGCTTTAAACGAGCAGACAAAACACGAACACCTCAATTTACAATGTCTACTATGAGAATTTAAGTCAATTGGGAGCCGGCAGCGTCAAAATCTGACTCTGATGTATGCTTCAAAGAAATACATAAAAGTGATATTTGTTTTTGTCACTTACAGAAAATTGACATACTTAGACTGTACTTATTTCGACACACATACACCTTAACACAGCACATTAAGACAGACTTGTTTTGTATGTTTTCTATTGTTTATGTATATGCAGTGAATTAAAGAAAAGAAATAGAACAGGAGAATATTGTTACTGACCTCAGTATATTTCACTACACTAGTCTCTGGGTCACAATCAGTCCATGAATATTTAAAGCAAACTGTTGCATTGACTGATCCTCTTACAGGCTGACCGTATGTATACCTTCAATAAGTTATTTAAAAACACATAAAACTTCATAAATAAATTGCTTGCGAAGAATATACATAAATATTCTAATTGTTTCAATAGATAGAAAAACGTGAATAGACTATTATTAATATATATTTTATTCGAAGTTCTTCTAAAAAACGAAAATAGTTATTTATATTTACCATTACACTAGTCTTAAACCAGTTCTTAATTCTGAATGGATGAGATTTTCCTAATCCAATCCATACATACAATAGCATCCAAACATAATGAATTGAAACTAGTGTAAGAAAGTATAATGCATACTCCAAGTATCGAAATTAATTATTTCATAATCAGGAATCAAGAGATTGTGTAACAAGAGCCACTGCCATTATTTTAACTCACGAAGAGCTACTCTGTACTTCAAAAAAAGGTACAGAATAACTCAGTTTTTGAGTTACAATATTCTCAATGAATAGGCCAATTACTGTATCATATATTCTACCATGAAAACAAAAATACCTGTACTTACAATCCACATATCTTAATCTTAAATGATTCATCACGGATGTAAATAGCAGAGGGTGTCTCAGTTACAACTTCGAACTTGGGTAAAACTAATGAAAAAATCATAAGTGTAATGTAACATTAGTTATAAACAATGTTGGCACTTACATAGTTTATGGAATAATAATAATCAAAGAAGTGCAAAGGGATTACAAAAAGCGAGCAAGCATAGTAATGATAATAGAGAATAGAATAGACCTATCAAGGCCTGTTTATACTTCAACGATAACGATAACGATAAAAAAAAACAAAAAAAAACTAAAAAGCGATTGTTCATATAGAAAACAAAAGAAATAAGAGAAGTTTTTACACTAGGACGATTCGATAACGATTTATCGTGTATACGATAACAAAATATTTTAACAAATCAAATCAGATGACGTCATAATCATGGTAAAACGATAAAATCGTTGCTACTACTACGATTTTAATGTTTTTCCATGATTATGACGTCATCTGATTTGATTTGTCAAAATATGTTGTTATCGCATAACTGATAAATCGTTATCGGGTCTTTCTAGAGTAAAAACTTCTCTTATTTCTTTTATTTTCTGTATGAACAATCGATTTTTAGCTTTTATCGTTATCGTTATCGTTGAAGTATAAACAGGCCTTTCTTACCATATTCTTCAACAATGAAGTTTTGTATTACAGTTTTTCCTTGTACCCTTGCCTTTATGGCCCATGTTCCTAACATCGGTTCATCGGAGAGTTGCATCTGTAGATCAATCAGTCCCTGGTCGCCAATTACATCTTCCCACTGCATTATTCGAAGTCCATTTGGAGCCTCGATCCACACAATTGAAATCTGTGGCAATTAAAAATACAAAGTTAGGCCTATCCTTCATCAATTCTACAATGAAGACTTTTTTTTAAATTATTATACAAGAACGTTGTAATTGGCGTACTATAAGATACTCTATGTTATCTACCTAACAATGTTATGTTAAAATAAAAGTTTGGTGTAACACACAGACGTGTATTTTTTTTAAATAATGTTGCAAATTTTGTCGGAAAGTCGTATTTTCCGATATAGCCTTATATTACCTTATTCATAAAGTTCGAGAATTTTATTACGCTTCATGTTTGCTGGGTATATATACCTTAGGCCTATATAATACACGTTTCGTAATTCTTTAAATAAACAATAGTAAAAACCCCTTTCCTTAGCTCATATCATTTATATATGCTTTATTATATTTATTTGATTATACTGATTTGATAATTTATTACTAGAATAATTATTTATAACAATAAAGCATTGCATACTTACATTATCTTTTACAACCTTCATCGATGGCGATAAAATCGATAGCATTCGAAATTTCACTGTAATTAAACAATATTCATCCGTAGTCAAATCAGCTCTAAATCAGAATTACCTGACAGTTCATTGAACATATTAGTCATCATTATAGATTTGGGTTGTAGATATTAACCGAAAAGATCAAGTAAAATATTTCTCATTAATTTAAACAACTCTTCACTACACAGACAGCCTCTCTTTTTCTATATACTTCTACCATGGAGGAATTACTTCTACAATATTTTATGGCAGGTAACTTCGCCAGGGGCCAACACTTAATTGATATACTCAAATTATACACAGTCATTACTTCATCAGTTAAAGGCCTATTAAGTATCATTTACCTTCTTGTCCGGGTTTATATTTTGGTTTGTCTGTTTGTATATATGTCTCTAGTTGTTCGCCATACATGCGTATTCTCATTTCTTTTTTAACTATTGCTGTTGCTGTCACAATATGTGCAGTCAGTGTGGCGGATGTACTGTATGAAATTGATATATCTGGAACCTAGAAATTGAATTAAGTTGATTTTAAAAACTTTTACAACCTTCATTTCAAATAAAGTTTTGATACGGTACAGTATGTCCTAAATAAACATTGATCAAATAAAAAATGAATAAAGGACAGTGTTAACGTTTTTATTTAACAACATACCGTAATACAATTAATACAATTGGGGTATTTTTGTTGTATATATATATATATATATATATATATATATATATATATGTGTGTGTGTGTGTGTGTGTGTGTGTGTAGATTTATAAATATATATAAATCATCAAAGGTAAACACAGTGCTTTAATAAAGGACATGATACTACATCGTGTAGCACAGCTCTCAACGAATGTTGTCCTATAAATGAATGAATAAAGAAATCATGTAATAAAACCATCAGCTACGGTATGGCTAGAAACAAATAATAGCATATATTGTAATTAATATAGCCGTTAAGATAGTCGTTAACACTGTTATATTATGTATAAATCATCAAAGAAAGGTTGATACAGTGTTCTAATAAAGTATATGATAGTACATCGTGTAGCCAGGGGTGGCGCCAGGATTTGCCCGACAGGGAGGGGGTGCCGAGGGTCCCCGACGGGGGGGGAGGTCAGATTTCACCGATGAAAACAAAGTGGGCGTGGTCGAGCTTTGATTAAAGGTTTCGAAAGTGATCCAGGAGGTGTAAAATCAACCCCTAAAGCAATTTAGGGGTTTCAAAGGCTTATTTAGTCGATTTTAGATTCTACTAATATGTAGTATACATGTAATTTGTTTTTCCCCGACGAATTATTCTTTTCCTCCCCGACCGGGGGGGGGGGGCAGCTCTCCCCGCTGGCGCCAACACTGCGTGTAGCATCTCTCAACGAATACTGTCCCATATAAATAAATAGATAAATGAATGAATAAAGAAATTATGTAATGAAACGCCTCTGACGGGATTTTAACTTGCGACGTGGTCACTGACAGTATCTTCCAGAAGTTTGAACAACTTGTTTTCTGTCTCTTATACACATCTAGATGTGTATAAGAGACAGTATATATATATACTAATATTATATATATATATATATATATATATAAATTGTTGTTAGTATTTCTTAATGCAAAAACGAATACTTTCTTGATAAACTGATTTCAATAGGCCTATCTATTAGGTCTTTATTTCCATTTGAGTGAATAGTGACGACAATTTAGACTACTATATATAACATTTGTTATGTAATAATAAAATATTAATAATTATAATAAATCTACCTGAATTTTAAAACAAGAACTGCCACCTTCCGGGAATGACTGTGAATGAGTTGTGGAAAATGCATTGTTCCAAGTGTAGGTGTTTTTCAGTGTAAAGTCAATCTGTGTTGGTCCTTCCAGGTGGCTCACGCATACTGTTTCACGGGTATTTGAAACCCACACAGGAGACGTCGTGATAAGGTAACCACTAAAATCAACAAAAGCAAATGCAATACCCCGTTTAAGGATTTTTCAACTAGGTTAAACGTGCGTTAAAGTTGAAAAGAAATCAAAATAAATGGATTGTTTAATTATACCTCCATGGTTTAATATACAGTACCGCAATTGTCAAGGCCTAGTACAACCAGAGGGACAATAACTACGAAGGAGAATGGATAGATTGTAGGCTACTGAATAATGCGGTCTCCATACACATTAAGGTAATACTTTAGGCGCATGGTCCCAAGTTACATTACTTTACTAGTCCTAAATTATATTTGAAATTAATAAATCACTACTGAAGTCTCGTCGACGGATTTTAGATCACTATTAAACAGTACAACAATTATTATCTGGTAGAACGACCAGCACTGTTGTAACTTTCATTAAGGAGTGAATTTTTCATTTATTTTTTTTCAAACTGAACAACTGATATTGATACACTCAAATACTATTTATTTTTTTGTATTTTATACAATTCATGTAAAACCTAACGAAACCGTTTTCACTTTTTATAGGCCAAACACCATACAAATTGAGCCATAGTTTAGAACATTTTTTGCTATTTGATCGTTCAAGCAAATGAAAAAGAATTTTACTAAATGATGATTAGGTGTTAAATTTATCATACATACCCAATAGCCGACTCATCACCGACAGATTTTGTTTCAATTTTGTCTATCCAACTACTAATAGGCTGAATGTCTTTAACGTCATCATCTGAACTAGGTTCCACTGCAGACATCGATGGTAGTTCATCCATTTCATCGGCTTCAGCAGTCGCAACTTCAGTAACCTCCTCATATATCATGGTTACATTCTGACTAAGTGAACATTGCACAATGGAATATAATAACACTATTACCAAGTGATATCGATAAAACTTCATCTTGAAGAGATGCCCTACTCTTCGTTACCAACAGCAATCTGACTCGAATAACTTCAAAACTCTCCAAGTCGTCCTTATATACTTATCGGTAACCTCGAAGTAACATCGTCTATTGTCACCCGGATATGAAAAACAACGTCAGCATTATTTTATGGATTATCCACTCCACTCAAGTTCCAGGTCCGTACCACGGATGAAATTGCGTGATGCTGTAAGGTTGTTAATAAACTATATTTCCATATGCAAGCGTAAGTCAAGCATTAAATCTGACATCCTGTGTCTAAGATAATATTAGCAAAGTCGGCAATTCAGATAGCATCTTCAGTACGCTTGTGATAGTGAACATCGGTCAATCACTTTCCTGTCATACGATTATAGGCCTACAGTACTTCCTCCATAGTTTAATTAATTAGGCGGCGGCGATTAAAAGTCCCTTCGATTGTGGTAGGAAAAAAAGGGACCTGCAGAGTGCAATGACGCACCCTGTGACGTACGAACAAATTAATATTTGACAAAAACTAGTTCCGTACCTGTTGCCTCTGGGCCCAACAACGGAAGAGTGGTGCCCAAAGACAGAGAAAAAATAATGTATATTCATTAAGTGAGGTATTTAACATTTTGGTGACTTAGGGGCCGCATTCTAAATTAGGTGAATTGTTAAACAACAAAAAAAAAACATGGCAGTTAAAGTTATAAAGCTACAAATCACGAAGTGTCAATTAGTATTAATTGACAGTCTTTTGCACTGTACTTTTTTAAGGATTTAATATATTTCAAACAGAATTATTTTATTTTAGGCCTTTAACTTCAGCTTCAGTGATAAATAAACTAGGCCTATTGTAAGCTGCGAATACCTTTATCAGAACTGTAGCGTTTAATTCCCTTATGAATGCTACGAGTTCAATTTTAAGTACCGGTAACATGTGATTTGCGGGAGAGGACCACTGCCATTAACAATATTTGGTCTAATTTTACCGAATTTCAATCAAAGTACTATTTCGATTATGGAGTTCTTTTTACTATAGGTCTAATAATAATTTAATGGTTCACCGTATGCGACATGCTTATTGCATTGCTGAGAGGAGCCACAATGGTACGCAAATGACATAAATTACTAAAAAGGCGTAGTCAGATTATGAAAACAATGGATTGTTTATTTCTCATAAACAAGTTGTTTCATTGGCACAGAAATTGCGGGAAATATTCTGATTGGTTAAAGGGAAGTAAGCCTATTGCTAGAAGCCACTGAGCAGGCATAGTCAATTTAATATGTATAGCTTTCCTCCTGGGTCAATGTGTACAGTACGGTAAGTATTATATACAAAACGACTGTATTTCTTTGGCCTAATTGTCTACACGGATTTTATTTGATAAAAACATGTGACATACCTAAATATGGTCATGATGACATCACATCATGGCCATATACAGGCACATCATGACTATATATGGGCATACAACAGTTTTTGAAAGTCTGGATAGACATTTAGATTAAGTTTGATATTGTTTCTACATTCAAACATTCTAAATGATTTTAAACGAATATCTACCTATAGCTTAATTTTAAGTTTTCGTTTTGTACTTCGTTTCTGAATTCAAAATACAACAGTTGGTTCGTATTATGTTTAAATAGGATTTTATGATTTTCCACCATTCTAGTAACAATACAGTATACTGGGGGAGTGACCGTGAATTTAAATGAAGTCCTATGTTTGATGAAACTGGGCCGAAACCTAGTTTACCAAATCAGATTGCTACTCAGCAATCTCGAATCTCAGTTTGTAGAATTCAGTATTAAAATATTAGCAAGTGTTAAACCCGGGTCGACAATCCATAAGCAGGAACTGGAATAAACTGTACCACTCGGCAAAACGTATATCCTCAGTTTCTGTAGAGATTACCGTTATGTATTTGAATAAACGCTTCGGGCGCGTGTTTATTGTTGAGATTAATCAAGGGAGGCGTTTTTAGGTGTAAAATAGATACTGTAAGTACTGTATCTTCAAATAAACGCCCCTTAATTTCATTGTAAATGTGGAACTACAACACATAATTACCAACAGAATGTGCTATTGCGAGATCATACAGATTATCAATCCCAACCGCGTTAAAAAAAAATGTAATTATACTGGAGCAGAATATTAATAGAATGTGTTGAGAATGATGTTGCTTCCATTAGTTTTGTTTACAGTCATTTAGGTGCAGGGACGTAGCCAGGATTTGGAAAGGGGGGGGGGGGGAGCCATTATGCGAGGTCGTAGGACCCCGGCGGAGTCCAGGGGACGAACCCCCCGGTAAAGTAGTGCACTCTGAACGTTTTAAAGACTGTTTTGAGAAGATAAAGTGAAAATTGCATTAGAGACCTTATAAATAATATTAGCATGGCCCTACAATAATTATTAGAAATCAACAGTAGCGGATCCAGGAATTCGAAAGAGAGGTGACCCAGGGAGGGACTTCACAGACTGAGGAACCACCCACCTCAGCCCCCATGTTTGGGGCTGAGGTAAGACAATTTATGATTAGGGCACCTCTAGATGGCCGGAAATTACACTTCATACTTAAATTTGAATATACAGAATTTTCCTTTTTTTTCCTCAAAAAAAAAATTCTTATCCAAAATAGTCATAATCACGAAAAATTAGCATGTGAAACCAGTTCACATCCTAAAAACAGATTTATGCACCCTCTTCTCAGCAGTCACAAGACATACTCTAAATCAGGTGCCGACTCAATGCAGTTTAGTCATACCCAGGGAAGGGCTCAGATCTGTTTTGAAAAGTGGAGAGGGAGGAAATTTTGTGTGTCGACACCCACCTCAGACTCATCATGGTTGGAGCTGAGGTGCGAAAATGTGAGGAAATAATACCCCTAGATGGCCAGAAACGACACTTTTAGTGAAATTAATTATCATCACAACACCATTACGGTAGTTCAAATGAAGCGCCAAAAAAATCTCATGGTCTTTTATCAGGGAATTCGGCAACCTTAGGGATCTTAATAATGTGTGTGATATACCAAGAAAACAAAGCTTAAAAACATTGTCTTTGAGTATGTTCTTTACATACTTCAAAACCGTGATTTCACAACCACCTCAGCCCTAACATGATGGTTGAGGCTGAGGTGAAAAAATTTGAGGAAATAGTACCTTTACATGGCCGGAAATGACACTTTTACATAGTAAAATTCATCATCATCATATCATCATTACACAGTCAAAATGAAACGAAAACAAATTTCTCATGTACTTTATCAGGGATCTACTTAATATCCAGGACAACTTGGCCTAACTATTATTTACTAAGCTTTAACTATATTATCAACAAATCACCTATTTTATTTTTCGCCTTTAGCACAATTTTTTCACATTTTAATATTACTGTATTAATATTACTATCAATTATCACTATTATCATCATCATCATCATCATTATTAATATTATTATTATTACTATTATTATTATTGTTATTATTATTATTAGTATAGTATTATTAACAAAATTTTAAAGAAGCTTGCAAAAGGATAAAAACCAAACTGAACCATACTGCATCACATTTCTGTATCTTAGGACTTAACCTGGGATTCATGGATTTTTTATAATCACGCTTAGGCATGTGTTATAAGGGTACAACGGGGGGGGGGAGCCGCGACTCTTCCCCCCCCCACCACACCCCCGGACGGATACGTTCCTGTTTAGGGGGAGTATATTCACATGAGGCTCTCTGGAGGGGGAGATAATTCAAAGCGAGGCGTTTATTCAAATAAATACGGTACCGGTACTAAAAATTTTAAAAAAAGTAGTATATTTACCTTTAAAACACTTCAGTTAAAAAAGCCCAACACATTCGTTAAAGTGATAAACATTTACTTCAATTACAGTGTGAAGATAGTGGTAGTCTTAAAAACCTACTGCTCGAATTAATATGTAACTAAGTTCAAAATGGTATTACAGTACAAGTATTCAAAATGGCATATATAGGACAGTGCCATAATATTATCTCGAGACTTATTTAAATACTCACAAAGGCCTACTGTATATGTGGGCACTGTATACATACAGTATATTCTGCAGTGCCGGATTGATTTCTGCAGTGCCGGATTGATTTTATTCTGTTTAATTAACAAGTTATGCTATCGTTAATAACATGCAAAGATATTTTGTTCCATTTTTTCAATGTTAGGAATATACACTGACTAGTACTTAGTTATCCTAAAAAAATCTAAAGCCGTAACTATGTATTATTCAACGTTCGACAGTTACAATTAAAATTCAGAACATGACAACCAACTCAACAATTTAATTTGAATTATCCCGATAAGTAACCAGACACAACACACATCACTCAAGATTAAATACTACAGTACTGTATATACAGTACTCAGGTCAGGTGAGACGTGAAATCTGATTGGCAATATATTCACGGTTGTTTAACTCTTCCTGTTCGTCGTCATCCGAAAACAATTGTGTCCGAGAACAAGTGTCAGCGACCTAATGGATTGAGAAAGTATTATTTTACTCCATGATAGTATATTGAAGTGAAAAGAACAAAATACGATTGATAAATTTCCTAACCTGATAACGATAGCACCACCAAAGATTATGGAAATGACATCCATGCTTAATGACGTACGGACAATTATCAGTTTACAGAAAGGGATTATAATACAATGGAGAACCGACTATTACTTCCATACAAGTCACTGTTGTTATGGAAACCAAGTGGGTGGTTATTTTTATATATCAAATTCTCGAGACCATTTCCCATTTGTTTAGGGCTTACGCAAAAGACCCTCCAAAAATCATCAAGGAAGATTCTTAGAATTCAATATATTACGGAAACTCAGTGCTTTGTAAGAAAAGGAGATTTTCTCAATTTTTTACGCTCTAGCTCTATGCCTAAATTAATTATTAATAAATAATAATCATTTTTAAAAAACCCCAAATATACACAACATTTAAGTAAGATTGCCCAAGTCTTCAGAAACATTCGGGCCATAGTACAAACCATATACTAACGTAAAGCCATAGTAGGTAGGGCAAACTACGATTTGTATTATGTTTTAAAAGATGAATTTTATAAATAATTTTTTTTACTGTACTTTCTTGGTCAGGTTTGGGAGTGTATACTATTGAACAACTCTCTTGCTTTACCTGGCTTTTAAAATCTGAGCTGATTGTTGTGGAAGAGTCGTTTCTGACGTTACTATCACTGCGACAACTTTTGTTGTTTGTTTGGAATCTTGCTTTCTTATTCTGTAAAAGATCATTTGGATGGTTTATAAAACGCTTCAAATATGGTTCAAATGTTCGGAATGACTGTCCTTGAGCCTCTTTTGATATTTTATATGACTTTTTCTCTGCTTCCCATTGCTGGCTGATTAAATTTAGATCACTTCTAGCTGTCTGACAAATAGCAACCAAATCTGTGTTTAGTGAGCCGCAATCAATTTCCATTGGTCGAAAGTTTCCAATTGCCTGCATATTACTCTTGGACTGTACATTTTTGTCAACTGTGTTATCGGTACATTGGTTAACAACATCTATCTCTTTCACATGTTTCAGTTCATTTAATGGGCTTTCAGAAGCAGACATTTTCCCTTGATCTTGATGAACACCAGATGCTGTAGTAATGTCATAGTGTGGTTTGCATTCGTTTGTATTGCTGACATCCAAATTATCCGTCTTATTTATCTCACATTTATGGGATATTACATAATCATTATCTTGGTCAGGGTGTGTCTGAGTATGTCCCTGTTTATCACAGCCAGTGGATGCATTTCCAGAGACCTCTTTTAAATCAAATTTAGCTTTAGGTATGCATCTACCACTATTCTCGGACGTCTCAGGTTCCTGACATAATTTCAATAATGGCATTTCTTCTGTCTTTAAGGTTACTGAAACTTCATCAGAAGTCGTCTTCAAAGATACATCAGTTGAGGTCAAATTTTGCTCATTATTCGTGGGCAATTTGGAATGAGTATCTTGTTTTTTGCTAACATGTTCATCACATTCATTGCATACATTTTGAGTGTTTTCTTTGGTTCTGTTTTTATCAGCCACTTGGTCGATATTGGCGTCATAATTTGTACCATGTTCAACAGCGACATAATAAGATACAAGTTCAGGACTAGCACTTTGAATTCTGTCTATCAAATTTGGAACATCTTTATCCACACAGATATTATACAGATGTATAATGTCACTACTGCCTTTGTTTTCATTGTTTTTATTTGTTGTATCATCACAAATGGTGCTGTCTTTGAGATGTGGGGGACTTTCTGCACTATTGGAGTAAGTGACAGTGACGTCTGTGACGATGGGTAACAACTCATCAGGTTTATACTCTGTTTGTGTTGTTTGTGATAAATTCAGACACTTTGAAAAGCTGCTCTTTCCTGTGATACTTTCCTGTAATAAAAATATTTTGGAAGTGTATTTTATTGAATTCTGAATAACAGCATGATCTTACAATATGATATACATATTTAAAGATTACATTTATATTATTCCTAAATTTATACAATTTATCAATGGTTTACTACTACAAAACAATAAGTGTGCAGATACGTATTTAATGATAACTGTATGAATAAGCCTGTACTACCTGAAGTACTTGGCAACTTAATCGAGATTCTTCGTACATCCTGGAATAATAATCCTTAATCTCTTCAAGTTTTCCTGATGATTTAGTTAAATCATCACACTTACTCTGATAGATCATCAAACTTTTATTTAATTCTTCTTCCTACAAATGAAAACAGCAGCAACTGATAGCTGAGCTTCCAAAAATAGACATTAAGAACAGCTTGGTACCAAATAGGCCCTACTAGTACTATAGATTTGTTTTAATGACTACTACAAGAAGAATAGGATGCAACACCACATATACCACATATGATGTCATCATAGTGGCATTCCTACCACAAGATCACATTATTCTTCAATTATGGACTTATTAATAGGTCCATGCTTCAATCAACACTAATTTTACTAGTAAATTGACTGGTTTGAAAACCATTATAATAATATAAGCCCATAAAGAAAGAAAACCCATGATTTATTTTTGTTTAAATATATACAAATTTTAACATTGTAATTGGCAATCAGCTATCAGCTTTAATCAACAGAACAATTGCTAATGTTATCAAAGCAAAGATTATGACAATTATACGTATAATTCTAATATGGAGATGTAGCTTGGTGGTTAAGATGCTTGCCTTCCAATAATTCCAGGGTCCTGGTATCAAATCCTATGCAGTGCTTGATTTAAATTTCTTCTATCTGGTTAAGCCTTGTAATGACACTAGGTTTATAAAGCATCTTATTATTTTGTATATTTTAAGAGGGCCCTGAATATCAGCTAAGCTGAAAGGGTCACTCTCTATAAAAAATAGTGTCAATAATAGACAGGTCCCAGCCAAGGATAAACTGCCATTTTTTCCGGTCAAGGTTTTCTCAGCGGTTTTATCATCCTGACCCATACTATTTGAAATAAGCTTGGGGGGGCCACCCACATGTTTGCCTCAAATCCAAGATGGCCACCAAAATCCAAAATGTCTGCCAAAATTAATATTATAAGAGATATACAACATATTTATTTAACTTTTAAAAAGTGGAATTGTCACCTCAGACCTAAGCCTTTCAAGATCAATCAAGGGCCACAAAGAATTTTGCCTCAAATCCAAGATGGCCGCCAAAATTCAAAATGACTGCCAATAATCACAATTATTAGAAAAAATGTAGCATATTATTTGGTTATGTCAATGTTTTATCAATTGGTTTGTCACCTGGTACATAAACCATTCAAGATCAATCGAGGGCCACCGAGAAATTGGCCTCAAATCCAAAATAGCCACCAAAATTCAAAATGGCCGCAAAAAATACAATAATTCCCAATTTGCAGTTAATTATTTGGTTTCAAATGTCGATGTTTTATCAGTGAAATTGACACCTGGAACATAAACCTTTCACGGTCAATCGAGTGCCACCCACAATTTGGCCTCAAATCCAAGATGGCCTCCAAAATGCAAAATGGCCGCCAGAATTAACTTAATTTGATAAATTATGCCTATTATTTGTTCCTGTTAACGTTTTCCAGTGAATTTGTTAATCCAAAATTAATTTGAAATTAACTTTAAGGCCACCTAGAAGTTGACTTCATATCCAAGATGGCCGCCAAAATGCAAAAAACGGCTACCAGAATTGCCTTAAGAAGATGTATATTGCCAGAAATTTGTTGTATAAAAACTTTTTTACGTTTATATGTAAAATATACATCTTATTAAGGTAATTCTGGTGGCCATTTTTGCAATTTGGCCGCCATCTTGGATATAGTCAACTTTTAGGTGGCCTTAAAGTTAATTTCAAATTAATTCAGGATTAACAAATTCACTGAAAAAAACGTTAACAGGAACAAATAAAAAGCAGAATTTACCGAATTAAGTTAACTTTGGTGGCCATTTTGCATTTTGGAGGCCATCTTGGATTTGAGGCCGAATTCTGGGTGGCACTCGATTGACCGTGAATGATTTATGTCCAAGATGACAAAGCCACTGATAAAACATCGACATTTGAAACCAAATAATAAGCTGAAAATCTGGAATTATTGTTTTTTTTGTGACCATTTTGAATTTTGGTGGCCATTTTGGATTTGAGGCCAATTTCTGGGTGGCCCTGGATTGATCTTGAATGGCTTATGTACCAGGTGATAAATCAACTGAAAAAACATTGACATAACCACATATTATGCTACATTTTTTTCTAATAATTGTGATTTTTGGCAGCCATTTTGGATTTTTGCAGCCATCTTGGATTTAAGTCAAAATTTTTGGTGGCCCTTGATCGATCTTGAAAGGCTTATGTCTGATGTGACAATTCAACTTCTTTTGGCGACCATTTTGGATTTTGGCGGCCATATTGGATTTGAGGAAAAAATTTGGGTGGCCCCCCCCAGCTTTATTTCAAATAGTATGGGGTCAGGATGATAAAACCGCTGAGAGAACCTTGACCGGAAAAAATGGCATTTCATCCTTGGCTGAGACTTGTCTATAACTTTTTGACAACATGACAGCCAAACAAATGAAAGAACAAAAAAAAAAAAAAAAAAAAAAAAAAAACTAAGCCGAAATACTGCATAACTAATTGGAACACACATGTATTTAAATTAATACAAACCCTTTGTAACCATTCTTTTTCTTTATTTGTTATAGATTCCTGAAGTGATAGGCAAAGCCTGTTCTTCTCCACCCAGCTATCTTTGAGAACCTCATGATCATTTAGAAGATGTTGGTATTTTACTTCTTGCACATTACTTAGTTCCTTTGACCTGACATAGTGATCAATCAACTCATGTGCATCAGATAGCGATGACTGTGTTTTCTGCAACAAAACATTACATTCAATTCTTATGTGGCTAATGCTTATGTGTAAGCATTACAAATTTAAATAAGTTTTCATTGTTGATTATTTATGCACTGGCATATCTAAGAGTCTAAAAATGGTAGGAGGGGGGGTGTGATGGGGAGCGAAGGTGAAGTGGGTATCGATGATTAGGCGAGGGGGTGCTAGCTCGCAAAAATTTGAGGTGATTTTTAGCTACCAAATGCATAATATTGCAGGAAAGTCTGAACCACACTTTCAGTTCAGTTCAGAAAATTTTCACAATTCAAAGTACTGTATACTGTACGGCCATGGCTCTACCATCTTTTTTTTTGTAGTTTTGTTTGACAACCTAGAAATTAAATAATTTATTTAAAGATGAAGATAGAAGAGGGTGACTGATCTCAAAACACTCTTTAATATAAAAAGAAATGAATATGTATTATATATAAATGTCAAATAATATATTTGGGTTTTAAAAAGAAATAGCAGCAGATATGTTTACCTTGTGGTCATTTCTAATTTCTTCAACATGTTTTAAAAGTTGTTCACAAAGTTTATCTTTCTGAAATAAAATAATATATTAAACAAGAATAATGAATGAAAACACAGAGATAATAAATATAATAGCAATAGCACCATCACTAACTTATTTTATGGGCCTGTATAATGTTTATAATGTTTTAATGGTGACATGATGATAGAAGCAGAGAAAAGTATGTAAATGTTGATACAAACTAGTCTGTAACAACTTATCATGTAACTCGCTTCATAAAAATGGATACAAAATACACATAAGCTTACTGCTTGCAATTCTTTGTGGATAGTGTCCTCTTGTTTTTTCATCCTGCTCATCTCTGTACCTGGACTTGGCCTAGCTTCCAGCTTTGCTCGAGCCTCTACCAATTGTTGACGTTGCTCCTTTACTATCAACTCTAATTCATCAATCTGACACTGTCGATGTCTGCTGACATACTCAAGTTTTCTGTTAAACTCGGAGGCACTTTCAACTGTTTGTAAATGTTTAGAAAGTATAATATTTTTAAAATAAAAAGGAATACTTGTAAAAGAATGAAGTTTGTAATGACCAGTCCAAAGTACACCTAAACAATGTCATGTTTATTTTTGTGCATAATATCTAATGAGCCCACAGAAATAAGATGGCAGGCTGATTGAAAATAAGTCTAGAATGATAGGGTATTATTTATGCAGGATCACTAATTTTTAGCCTACCATTCTGTTTAAACTGGTTAAACAACTCTTGTATAGCTGCTCTCTGTGAGTTGATCTGCTTACACTTCAACTCAAGATCAGCCAACTGAGAATGATGAGAAGTGCGGGAGGAATCCTGGAAGTCTATTGCTCTTTCCAACTCCTGTACTCGTTTTTCCAGCGAATACTTGTTTAACTACATTTCAAAAATAGAGAAAAACTCAAACATATTGAAAAGTATACGATATTGTTCCAGACTAAACATGATATACAGATATATTTATATATAAATGTATATATAAGTATATAGATATATTTACATATAAATATAAATGAAGCATATATATATATATATATATGCTTGATGTTATATATATATATATATATATATATATACATATATATATACATATATATATACATATATATATACATATACATATACATATACATACACATATACATACACATATACGTACACATATACT